TTCAGGATATTTTTGTACATTACTCCAGCTTTTACAGGTAAAAAAATAAAACCTCCACATACTCACAAGTCGGGGGACTCACCTTCGAATGGTGGAGAGCTGGGCCTGCTGCTGCACCTCCTCAGCAAAGACCTTCAACTGCTGTTGAAAAGGTTCTTTGTGGTAGTTCGGGTGGACATTGTCGTAGTTTGGCACTACAGGTGACAAGAACTTGGGACAGGCAAAGCTGAACAGCTCCTCGAACACCTGCAGATCTCTGAGATGGTAAAAGTAACATTTGCGTCAAAAGAAATGTTTGAGGCTACGAGCAAAAATGCTAATAAAGTCATACATTACTGATTCCATATCCCATAAGCAAAGCTCCACACTTTATATAACATTCTACATAATACAAAATCAAAACAGTTAAACAGAAAAGGACTGACGCACAACTTAAACAAATATGTTGTAAAGCAAGGCAGTGAGTGTAGGTCTTACCCCTTTTGCATGCGGAGCATCTTATCTCCGTACTTCTCCCTCAGCTGGGTGTGGATGCTCTCGTCGATGCGCATCGGGTACATGGTCAGAGCGATAGCCAGCAGGCCGTGCATCTGCTCATTTTGTTTGTTAATCTGAAGAAAACATACAGGTATTATGACACCTGTTCCAAACATAATACTGTTTGATCATCCAACACAATGAGAGTGCCTGATTATTATTCACGTGTCAAAGCATTTTAAAGCAAATCAGCGCATCCCAAATGTTGCTGTCTGAAGTTCTCTCACCACGTTCTGTACAGACATAAGTAAAAGAACCTACAGCTAAAGACAATAAAACCACTGCTGTTACTGACCATCTCATATTTATACGTTGACCTCTGGAACATGTTTCTTGTTCTCTGGATATAGAGCAGGATGTTAGCAAAGACTCGAATGGCATCCTGGTAGCGCCTCATCATAAGGTAGGCAAAACCCACATAGTAATATGTGGTGATTTGGCACTCTGGAACACGCGAGTACATACTCTGAAAGACAGGGAGAAAAAAAATATGCAGAAATATGAATTACAGAGAAAATGAGCAGTTTCATTTTTTAATGTTTAATTTCAACAGATCAACCAAACTTTATTTGTTGCTACAAAGGTTGATTTAATAGAAACTTTAAACTTTGAGATGAAATGAATTATATGACTCCGTGCTACTGAAGAACTGAGAACTTTGAATTATGTATTTACTTTATAAAGTATTATAATAGTTATTCATTGTTAATGTGTCAGGTAAATTAATGAGTTCCTTCTTTTTTACTGCAACTTCACTTTGCCCACATTAAATTTCATGAGCATAAAGACTGATAAAGCAGAAACTGTGTCGAGTCAAATTATCACAAGAATCCTCGGAGAATATCGTTTGTTTGTTTTAAATTAAAAACATCAATCCTTCTAGGACAAGAGGAAACAACACCAACAACACATTTCCATAATGACACTCAATCCCAGCGCTCATCATCACTAGTGGGAGCAGACCAGACCTCTCTCTACATGAGGTCTTAAATAAGGTCGTACCTTCTTATTGAGCTCAATGTTCTCCAGGACTTTGATGGCCTGGTAATAGTCACCAAGCAGAGAGTGAAGCCTCAAAAGCCCGACCAAGCTGAAGTAACCCAACATCTTGTACAGGGAGTGACGTCCATATTCTCCAGCCACGCTTTCTGGGTCTCCTGCATTACAAGAACACATAACATGTTCACGACCTATACAGTCCTGGACTCTAAAGCCTTAAATTGACATAATTCAAGATTTTAAAATAATTAGGTTTCTATGAATAGTCCATTGTTTCTATAAATATCATAAAAACACTCTTCTTTACCTCCACTTGTGTAGACCTCAAGCTGACGGTTGATGTTGCTCTTGTCCACCAGGGAGTGGAGAACATTGAGGACACTGTGGACGTTCCAGATCTTCGGGTTGCTCCTCAGGAACTCAATTTCCTCCTCAGACTTTTTGGCTGTCTTACAGCGGTACTGACTGAACGACTGAAACTGAAGGTGGAAGAGATGTTTGTTGGTGGATTTTAAATATGCTTTCTAGCCACGTGGACTAATGATCATTAAAGACCATGAATATCTTCATTAATATGTCACCTATCTGGTGCTTAAAGCAATGATAACATTAACAACAACAGCTATCAGCCCTTTTCTTTATTTGGATCTTATTGATTGTTGAGCATGCACTCTAAAAACACTGTAATGTACCTGGTAGATAAACTCATCAATGATGTCCCAGAGCCACTGGTTTGGCAGCTCCAAGGGGGCCGGCCCATCAGCATCTGTTTAGAGTCAACAATGATCTCATATAGCTGCTGTTCTTGCACTAACGGATCAGAGAAAATGTATGGACAATGTGTGCTCCTTACTGAGAATGTAGTTGAAGAGGTTGCAGTAATTGTAGTAGGACTCAAATCTCTGGTCCAAAGTTGGTCCACCCTGATTATACAGAAAATATTTTTTCCAACCAAATTCTAGAAAGTTTTTTGGACAGTGATAAAAAAGACACAGACGACTGTTCATATTTAGCAGCTACTCACGCTGACTTTAGCGTAGATGTGTCTGTAATAGAGTTCTTTGTAGAGAATGAGAAACACGGCATCTGCAAAACACAAGAGACAAAAACAACATGAAACATCTCCACTGAACCACACAAAGGAGGCCTAAAACTCTTAAATATATAAAATAAATAATAATAATCTTAAGCGGTGCAAGTTTATCTTTTTTTTTTTTTTAAATCACACTCAAACAATAAAGAATAAAAATGATACTATCCATACAAAATCAAAAGTAGAACAAGTAATGGATAACGCTCTCACCATTGCCAACAAGTGATGCGATGGCCTCAGCCTCTGGCCAGGGAGAGGTCTTGAAGAAACGGTCAGTCAACTTGTTCCAGCTTAATAGGTAAGAGCATGAAAAAGTCAGCATATTGATCATGCACGGTGTGAGAGTTATGTGCACAGAGTTAAGTTTACCTGTTTTCATAGACGTCCTGGATCTCATAGATCTTCTGCTCAATGCTCTCACTAGACACCCGGTTGGACTGCAGCTCATAAACCTTCTGGTCAATCAAGTCAGAGATGGTTTTGTGGAAATACTGAAGAAAGTTCTTGATCACCTCTGGGATGACATGGTAGGTCTGCTGCTCATACTGCCTCTCGTAGGCAAGGTCTGCTTTAGGGTCACCTGCAAGGAAAATTAAAAGAACATCCTTTAATCTGCTCTAAAAGTTACTTATGTTGTGTGACTGACTAAACAAGAGGATTGTATCTGTAAAAATAGATAGTATGAGTATAAAAGGGATGGTTATTTGTATACTTACCAGTGTGCAGATCGTAGTCGTTTGTGTAGGAGTAAGGATCGTACTGTAAGGAAACAAAGCAATCAGGCATTTGTTACTGATACAGCTACAGCATCTGATATTGATCTGCCCAGCGAGAAACGACCACCTGATCGATTATATAGTGATATTTTATAATAATAAAAATGCACTAAAAAGAGTTACAGACAATTAGCTACTTTTTTGGTTGCATTGTCTTAAAGCAGGGTTTAAGAGTAAATTTATATCACACTAACTCATTGAAGCCACTGTTATACTATGCCGGTGGAGTCGAGCTAGCTACACAGCTACCTAGCTAACAGTGTGCCATTGTTATTGCAGTCAAAACGTACAAATGTCTGATGGAGTAAATGTGTACTTACATCCTCTTCGTCGTGGTATGACATTGTATTAGCTATTAGTCCAAGCTAGTTTAGATGCTGGAGTGAAAAAAGAGAATATGTGCTCAATTAGCTACCGCCGCTAAACCACGCAGCTGGCGGTGGAGAGATGGGAAGAAGCGGAAGGAAGTAGCTGTGACGTGGGAGTGACACGCATCGTAATTGGAGCACTATGGGAAATTGAGTTTGTTGTTCACGAAAAGAAACGCTTGATTCTCAAACTTTCGCATATCTCTTCTAAAAGCCATTTCAAACAAAAAATATGTAGAGGGTGGTGAATTTAAAAACGAATAACCATTTCTTTCCGCGTTTTTTTCTTCTTAAGTTTCTCTTAGGGAATGAAACCTGTGTAACTGAGAACAAGAGCAAGCTAGGGCTCTGATTAGGGTTTCATAAATGTATTTTATGAACCTCATTGTTTTGCTAGTGTCTGGTCGTGACACGGCATCTGTCCATTTGTTTACAGCTGTGCTTTTTACTCACCATAATGTATTGTAAAGATGACTAATGATACTAATTAGGCTACACCAGTTTTGACCAAACATATATTCGGGAAACAAACGGACTCTTGGCGAGACATGCCTTTCTACTGAAGGGCTTCTTGTGCAGGTACTGAAAAACAAACCACCAAGAGGAACAGACATAATTTGATATAGGCTTTATGTTCTTATTTGTCACGTTTCTTTGATTCTTGCACAAAAAAATGTATGTTGAAAACTCAGCCTAATTTTTCTCGTGGAGAATAAAATAAACTTGTGGAAAATACAGTACGCGGAGTTCTGACAAACGCAAAAGTCAGAACTGACTGTGTAGAATTTCGAAATCCCCGACAGCTATTTGACCATATGAAGTGTATCGAGCAGGCTGTGAAGACTATCATCTACCGTTAGATGGCGTTATAGTCGTAATGGGACGCTCTGAAACGTTGCACTAGTGGCCGTGGACTCGGCGAATGGAGAGTTATTGGGAAGAAACTGCAAACTGATTCGTGCTCGTACAGCATATAGTTACAAAGCTGAGAATGGTTTAATGGTTTGCCAAAATATCTGTTATTCTAGGCGCCCCTTGTTTTTTTTAATCTGTATTGTGTGAAACTCAGGGGCTTGTCTAACTTTGTTTTGAGAATTGTATATAGCCGTATAATCAAAAAATTGAATGTGATTGCGTATGCGTCCACCAGAACGAAAATGTATTTGCTGATCCACCTAGCAGACACTTTCTGACCCCTTCCTGTGTTTTCTCTTCACTGGGGTTGAGCATCCTCACACCACTTTCTTACGTGAAAGAAAAGAATACCTGACGTGTTTGACTACCAGCAGCTGACGGCGTAAGCTTACGCCTACCTGACTGACTAGGGGACCCGCCTGCATCCGATAAGGGATCTAGTCCACAGAATCAAGTGTAGCAGAAAAGGGGGTGTGGAGAAACGAAGTTGAGTTAAAGAGAGGGAGAAAGAGACACCGAGGGAGGGGAAAAGGTCAGGGACACGGGGGGGGTTTATCGGACTGCCAGAAATAAGGAGCGTGTCTACACAAACGGGCTGGCAGACGAAACCAAGGAAACGACGTGAAATACACCACCGACCCCCAGTGACTTCTTCGAAAGGACTGGTGCGGATTTTAAACAATTTTTGACTTCTCCCATAGACAGTTTTGCGCTTAGGTGAACTCCTGCCAACACGATTTTGGACCGTGCGTAATTTGGAGAGTATATTACCACGCTGCGTCAGGATGCGCATCTGTCCACTGCTGGTCTTCCTCTGTCTACAGTGCGCTGGAGGCGTTCAGAAGTTCTCCGCTCTCAAGGTATGAGGAGGCACTTAACTCCCAGAATGAATGTCATTCAATTTCATGAGTAAAAGTTGTTTTAAAGGGAAAGGATGTGCTTGTGCTTTCTATGAATTCACAATCTGGAAAATATTTTTTAATATAAAAGAAATAGTTCCTACGCACCCTTTTCTTAAAAGTCAAGCTTCTTGTGATCTATTTAGTCTAAGAATCTGAAATAATAAAATAGTCAATACCTATAATGACGCATTTGAAGTCAATTACTACTACACTGTGCCACATTCTTACACCGAAGTCTGAGTCTGAGGTTATCTCGCTCTAAAAGAAGTGGGCTGTATTGGTCAGATGTTTTATATGAGGCAGAAATCCATTTTAGAGCTCAAGAGAGCATCAACTAGAGCTGTGCACTGAGAAAATGGCTCTGTGTTTTTTGTCAGTCATGTAAACTGAGCGCCACAGCTTACAGAGTGTTGGCACAGCAAAGGCTACAGGTTTGTAAGCAGTTGGTGGGTGTGCAGCAGATCCTTTGCAGGTTTGGTTTTGCTGCTGTAACCTGCCTGCCAGCTTCTCGGCTCTGCTGCCTTTCTGTCTGGTTTGCTCCTGTTGTTCTAGTTGCTCTTCAGAGGCTGAGCTGCCGGGATCTTCTGCATTAAAGCACATGGCATTGTTTACAGCAGCATCCTCTCCATCTTACATTAAACTCTGACAGAAAGTGCATCTTCTGGGGAATTTCATGGCCATGATCAAGTGCAGGTACAGTGCTAAAGGACACTTAATAGAGAGTGGAATGTGCATTGTCAGAGGCTCCCCCTTTTGATTTAGAGGCTGATGTGACAGCCACCTCTCCCAGCACCAGTATTTATGGTTCTGGAGAAGATGCCTCGGTATCCAATTGGAAACAAATGGCCATGAGTTGTTAACCTTCAGGTGAAGGGTCGGAGATCCTTTCTGCCTGACGGCACTACAGAGTTGTGGAATGTGGGAGGAAGTGTTGTACTGAGCAGATGCTTCACTGAGTTGATACACACAAACACACACATAGACCAAGGCTACAGATAATTAGTGTGAGGAGCGTTTCTCTATTTGTGCCATGGTTGATACCATTTACTGTCATTTAATAGAAAGGTTACACAGGTGTAGCTGTGTTTGTGGTTGTTTGGATATGACACATTATCTGCTGTGCTCTGGAGACGAGTGTAAGAACGAGAAACTTCTCTACTTTGTTGCGTGCCTCAGTTTAATTTTGTTTCATATTGTGTGCCGTACCTCCCAACACAGGCTAATCAGACTGTCTTTAGTGGAATAACACATGAAACTTTCTTTTACAAAGAAGGTTGCAAGTGATTAATGGCTTATTGTCTAACATATACAGGAGAGACCATTAATAGTTAAAAGAAAATGTCTTCATGTTGTATTTTGTCCATATTTGAGGTCAGACAGGCAGTTAAATATATGAGATATTTGCCCAGGGTTATTCATGAGACCAATTTTTTCCATTGTTTATGGAAATATGAAATAGTGTGTGAGAAGATGAGGGCACACAGAATAGTGGCTGCCTCATTTTCAAATCTTTATGTAGAAATCTTGATCTAACATGGGCCCTGTTGCCCCCCAAGTGCTTTCCTAAAATTTTCCACCTGCTCAAAGAGGCGGGTTTCTTTATCACATGACTATCACTGGCCTTTTGCGACACCTCCTTTTCTTTTTAACATCTTTCAAAGCAATTAAATGCCTTTTTCCTTTGATTGAGTTAGTAGGCTGGTTAAAGGCTGACACTTTCTTCCCTTTCCACCATGCTGGAAACTAATGATTCCCTTTGCATCCTAGCATCCACACAGGAAACTCCCGGCAAGGGCATTTAACACGTTTGCCACAGCTCTCAGCTGGGGCCCCCATTGACCCTGTGAGGCTGTGGTGTGAGGGGCCTCTCAAGGCGCTGGAAGCAGGGGCCTCCCAGCCCAGAAGGCTCTTATCAGCCTACAATGCGCTCTCTGCTGGAGGTTCGCCTCCTCCATACCCCATTCAATCCCACAATGCCGTCGAGCCAGGGGGAGGTAATAGGATTTGATTTGTATGCTGGTTGATCTTAGAAAAAAAAAATTTCCCTTACACTCCACCCGCCTCGCCCTCTCTTGCCTGTCTCTTGTTCTTTTGCCAACCTCCTGTATTATTAGAGCAGATGCAAAAAGCATCTTCCAAGAGAGATCCCACAAAGAACAAAAGGAAAAAATCATGAGAGAGGCCAAATAAAGAGAAAGGCAAACAGAGAAAGTGAGTGCCAGATGTCTGCAAGTAGACGGGAGTGGGATTTGAGCAATAAATTGATTTGAGTCAAAATGCGTGTTCAGACTTGCACGAGTCTCCTTTTATGATAATTCAGGGTGGAAGTCTGTGCCGCATGTAGCTGAAGCAGAGGCCATCCATCACTCTCCACCATGTTCCTGTGCAGGATGATGGTGTCGACTCAGAGAGGCTGGAATGAGACATCAGGGGAGTGTCGGGGCTCTGCCTCAGCCTCACCCATCCATCACCACAGGCAAAAAACACACAGAGATCTGTAGCAGAGAGCTAACTACAATTAGGTGGACACAGGAGGATGAAGCTCTCAAAGCACCATTAGTCTCCAAAGTTTCTTCCTCTCCCTCACTTTCACATCTTATTTTTTTGTACTTCCTTCAGTGTGGCCAACTTTGAAACGACTTAGAAATAAATACTCGGATGTCTGAAACTGAGTCTGGGTGGTTGATTTCATGGGTGGCTGATTTCATGATTTCAACTGTGTTTTTCCATGCTGTGTTCTTGGAGCTTCACTGTAAACTTGCTGGAGCTTGGCACTATGCTGTGTGTGCTGGAGAGCAGACTTCTAGCAGGATGCTGGGCCGCTGAATGACTCTGTTTGCGATGTCAGTCTGCTGGCTGGCAGGGGCTAATGCTGGTGTAGTGGCAGTACATTGGCTGTGGCAAGTGCTGGACAGTCACCACCAAGTGGGGTTGGATGCTCTAAGACACCATCAGTGTAGTAATTGGCTTCAGAACTGTCTGAATGTGAAGGGGGAGCTATGAGAGAACTTCGGTGTTGAATACGTACGCCCTCCTTACCTGTGTGTGAAGCTAGTAGCACTGGAGAGAAGAGGAACAGAAGGAAGGGAGGATTGTACTAATGGGACTCTGTCAGTTAAATGCAATGATGCAAATAATTCAAACAGCTGAGAGATGCAATGAGGGAGTAGGGGCAGGACATGTAAGATCTTGTGTTTATCAAGAGCGAGCCAAATACATAAGCAACCAAAAATAGAACCTCTTAAGTGTTTAGTTGAAGACAAAAAGTGCAGATGTTTGTTTCAAATTCAGTCTTGATTTCACTAATATTTTATGAACAGGAATCTTCTGCACAGATCAATTAAATTCAGTTTCATTCATATAGCACCAAATTATAACAACCATCACCTCATGGTGGAGAGAAAACTCCAACAATCACACCAACTCTCCATTAGTAAGCACTTGGCAACATTGGGAAGGAAAAAGTCCTTTTCAGCAAGAAGAAATGTGTGGCAGAACCAGGCAGCCATCCGCCACAACTGGTTGGGGATAAGGGGAGGAAGACAAGACAAAAGACACGCTGTGGAAGAGTGCCAGAGATTGATAATAACTGATGATTAAATGCAAAGTGGTGTATAAACAGAGTTAGAAGATGTGAGAGAGGAGGAAATGTTCAATGCATCATTGGAAGCCCCCAGGAGTCTAGCCCTAGAGCAGCATAACTAAGAAAGGGTTCAGGGTCACCAGATCCAGCCGTAACTATAGGATTTATCAAAAAGGAAAGTTTTAAGCCTGATCTTAAAAGTAGAAAGGGATCCAAAGTGGGAGCTTATTTGACAGAAGAGGGGCCTGAACGCTGAAGGTTCTGCCTCCCATTCTACTTTTAAATATCTTAAGAACATCAGAGCTTGGAGTCACAGCAAAGTGTTTTATATTGATCAGGTATCAATTAGAGAGAGCAAACATATAATGGATAATTTCCCCAGTTCTGCCTTAAAAGGATAACTGTTTGATGATTTGTGACATGTTATTACAGACAGTAAGAGTAAAACCTCTTGTTTATTTCAGAACAACAGACTATCAATGAATATAGCCCCAGAAATCATCTCCTCTCCTCTCCTCTACATTGTGACACTGTATAAAGCTTCTTGTCTTCCTCGTGACAGTTTTATACTTACCCTTCGAAAATCTTTGATTCATTCCAACACATTCATCTTCCCCCTCACAGCTCCTTCTTCTAGTGTGTTTGAACGGGCCTACCATCTCTGATCTACCCATTGGGAGATTTATGAGCATGGTTGACAGAGTGTATCTGTGTTACCCCCCCCCCAACCCCCCACCCCTCCCTCCCACTGGCCCAGGGCAACTTTACCTTACCTGTTAACCCTCTTCCAGGTGCATGCAGCCCTGCAGCTCTGCCTGTCAGAATGCGGGGGGTGGGGAGGGGGAGTTGCCCCTCCTCCTCCTCAGTATATTTGTAAGATGTCAGACACAACAAATTTTGTCTTTGGCATTACCACAGCCTTTTTAGCAAACGGTTTTTGCCACAGATTGATAAGTGGGAGTGGATGAAAGTTCCCACTTGTCTGTCTATCTGTCTGCCGTATAATAGATGACATGCAGAGATTTTTGGGGTGTTTGTGAATCTAGGAAAATTAGAACAAAACAACAGTGTCTCATATGTGCAATTATTTTTATTAAAAGAGGAGACAAAAGTTCACCGAGGTATTTCTCTGTGGATATGACTGACTGAAAGTGCACCTGCATCTGCATGAGTATCAAGTTTGTTTGTTTTTTGGGGTTTTTTCAGTCTGCCCAAAGTGAATGAATCATGCAAACTTTATGAAGCCGCTCACACTGTAGCAGCACAAAGCCCGCTGACATCTAGTTTATTCAGGTACCCATTCGCTGTCTTTTAATTCATTGTAGCCGTCACAGCTTGTTGCCAACCCCCACCTTTTCCACCACCACGGCCCCATTGTGTGGCCTGGCGAGGGAGTTTCATACCGTGGTGGCAGATACAATGGTGGCATTGACACAGGTGATCCGATGCGTTGAGCCTGGATTCTCCTGTCCTTGTTCCTCTTTTCATGGCTGAGTAAAACATCCTTAGCAGTGATTCCAGGTGAATACCTGTGCAGGTGTTGGCACAGACAAAGAAAAGAGGAAGTGTTAGTCAAGTCCTCTTTAGCCCTTTAGACAAAGACAAAGCACAGCTGCACCTTTGCAGATTTGCAGCAACACTGCCCCATCTTTGTGTCTGTGTCTTGTACAGATTATCAGTGTCTTCTTGCGCTTGATTTTTAATAATAGGCATTTTTTTTTCTGTTGTAGCTTGTTTTCACAAAAATACATTTTGCTCCACCAGCGCCAGCTCCCAGCCTTCCTAAATTCCTCAAAACTCCTACCTGTTGGTGTGCAGATTAAAATGTTTTGGTGCAGAGTACACTTATTCCCAGAAATGGCTCATTTAGCAACTGATTTCTCTGCTTATCTCCTCCCTTCTCACTTGTGCAGTTCCTGCGGGTGGATCAGGATAAGGATTGCAACATGGAATGCAGCGGAGCTCCTCGCAAGCCCCTGTGCGCCTCCGATGGCAGGACCTTCACATCGCGCTGCGAGTACCTCCGAGCCAAGTGCCGCGACTCCCAGCTGGAGGTCAGCCGAGGGCCATGCAAAGGTCAGGTCATGAGTCACGCTTCATCGCCGCCTGATGCTCTCAAATGCACAGAGGGGGGTCACAGTAGAAACTCGTGGGTTAAATTCATTTCAGCATAATTGATTCTTTGAGTGGTGGGAGGACAAGTGGGTTTGACACTGTAGAAGTGGGGGCTTACTGCTGCCTGCGTGGTTTTATAATTTCACACCATTTGTGTGATGAGAGACGCATCATTAATTTGACAAATCATGAATTATTTTGATTACATGAGTGATTTCCTCATTTATGGAAATTGCAGAAATATCTTGACAAATCGTGACAAAGATTTCATCATCCTGGATGTAAAGCTTTATATATATGATAAGTTGAAGAGAGGGAAAGGGAAGGAGAGCCTGTGAGGTCAGGAAGCTCACACACTCTCTCATTGTTAGTCGTTGAAGGAAGGAAGAAGAACCCATACACCCCAGTTCTTCAGCCCCGAACCCTTTCACCCCTGCCCCACAGGCTCACTCTATACTGCTAGTTCATCGCTCTGTAGACTGGGGACAATGACCCATTCTTACCGCATTACATTAGACCTCTAATACAGGGAATGTGAGCAAAAAAGTTTGCTTAAAAAGAGGTGTCATATGATGGAAAAGCATTCCACAATTTTATGCCCGTGCTGGGTTTCCATGGCAACGTCTCTAAGCGGACATCTGGATGTGGCGGACAGTGCCGGGACGCAGAATAGAGGATTCCAGCCAGGAAGCTGAAAGGCACGAGGGTCCATGAAAGTCGTATTGTATGCGTCAATAACATCGGGTCTATAAGAGTTTGGACCCCCCTACTGCTTCTGGATAGGGGGGGGGCGGAGTATAGACACAGCAACAGCACCCGAAATAAACCGGAGGTCTCGCCTTGCCTAAAAGCACAGAGATGGGATTGTGCAGATGGTGAGAGTGGCACCACATTTGTTTTCTATCACTGTGCTAGGATGATTCAAGTGTCCTGTCATTTTTTCCAGTCAGCTTTTTGGTCAGAGCCCCCTGGAGAAGGATGATGGTTTTGGGGTTTTCCACTGCAGCTAACTTTAGAGCTCCTCAATTCACTGTTTTCCTCCCTCCAGAGCATCCAGCATCTTGCCTGCTCTCCTCGCCAGTCAGCAAAACGCACACACACAAAGGGTGCACACTAGAGTAAGAGAAAGCAGTGCACATCCCACCTCACATGGCTAATCTACCTAGAAGCCATGCTGGCAACAAGACTGCCATCAAACTGGTGAATGTTTTTAAACTTGGCATTAATTATTGTTTCAGTGCGATTTGAAGCCCATCCAGCACTTTGCAGTAGCTACTGCATTACACTGAGTTACCATCAGACTCATTTGTACAGCTGCTGCTGCTGGCCAGGTGAGATAAAGCAGCTTTGGAAGACTGGTTTGAGGGATGTGCAAAAACTGGAGGCACACCTGGATGAAAAGTTGCTGAGTTTGAGGGGACAACCTTGGCTGAACCTCTCAGACGGTCGAGGTTTTTAGAGGAGAGTGAGGCAGACTCAGACATTAAGGAAGGGTCAGGTTTTCCCCGTGCATCAGCCCTTTTCTTGGGTGACTGGAATGTTCTTACAAGAGCAGCATGAGCTGTCTCGCTCAGTAATGGCTTTACCACCAGGCGGTGTGCAGGCTTGCCTGACTTGTCCTAATAAGAGTGGGGGTGTTGGTTCTGTTCCCAGCCACACAAGTATCTGCTGCTTCCGAAATGTCTTGAATTGTTTCCCCCTCCGTCACTGCTCTCTCCCTGCATGTTTCTTCTATTCTTCATCATCTGTAAAATTCGACATCTTCTTCTGACTTTTTAAGTATGTTGCTTACATAGTTGTGGACCATAAGAAAATAGCGTGTCTAGTGATTTTGCTGATTTGTGATGCTCCTCAGATACATCCAGATGTGTAGCAGAGAAGAAGTACACAGAGCAGCAGGCCAAGAAGCTCTTCCCACAGGTCTTTGTGCCTGTTTGCAACCCTGATGGCACGTACAGCGAGGTAACGAACAACACTCTATGAATTATATTAACTTTACTGCACAAGCCAAAGCTAACAACCATACCAACAGTCAACATTTTTCTAAAAATTCTCATTTGTTCCGCACAAATAAAACTCTTCTTTCATTTCATTTGATTCTAACATGATGGGTTTCCAAATGCAGCTTGTACTGACTCTGTGTGTGTATGCTGTTTTGATTGCAGGTTCAGTGCCATAGCTACACTGGATACTGCTGGTGTGTTACCCCCAATGGCCGGCCAATCAGTGGCTCAGCAGTGGCCAATAAGAAACCTCGATGCCAAGGTCAGTAAAACCCAAGTCTTTTCAGATTTGCAGTTCTCAGCTCTTGGCATCTAATTTTGTAATATGCTTGACGTATGACACTTGGTTTCAGTAATTCAGTGTAGCAATGATGATAAATCAAAGTCAGCACAGCATAAAATGGCATTTTATGTTTGTGTGGGGGTGTAGCATTCAGTCCTGTGGGAAAGCGGTCAGCGAGTGGACTGACAGCCAGAGGGTTCGAGGGCCATACGAGGACTGAGTGTTGCTCAAGGCATGGGGCATTAGTAAAAATAAGCCTGGCAGAAAATCTGTGCTGCAGAATTGAGAAACGAAGTTCAGCTGCGAGGAATGTAAATGTCACTGGAGGGTAGCATCTGCCAAACACTATGAACACTGCTGTTAGCTCTTTACAGATGTTGGATGTGGTTTATCCTCTTGAGATTCATCACAGGATGTAAAACTTGTACCCACCATTGTACTCTATACTCTTTGGTTAACTTACCTTCACTGTCTACACACAGACTATACATTGGTCTATTTTCATTTATAAATCAATAACTGAATTGCCACCATTGTATCTAACTTCCTGTATGTCACCTAAACAGAGTAATTACAGCCTCCGCTCACAAGCCTTTATTACATTCACTGTTCCTTCACCACATACAGAACTTGGGAAAAAGGCATTTTCTTACAATGCTCCTTATACTTGGAGCAAATTGCAACAGGATTTGAAACTGTGCAGTTTAACTGAACTCAAGGAATTTAAACAAATTCTAAGGACAAAGGAGAAAAGATTACTGGATGGCCGTTCCTGTTCATGATGTGTTATTGTTACTGTCTTTTTAGTTTTAGTTGTATTTTTCCAGTTAGCTGATTATATGACGTGTATGTTTTAACATATTTAAAACAGGTCAGTCTTGAAGATGACACACTGTCTCTCCCATTGTATAAATAAAGGTGAAATTTAAAAAAAATCAAATCCCTTTGCATCTAAGGGGCTGCCTTGTAGTTTGTTGCTGTCTCAATAGTAAGAAGCCTGCAGAAGTAATATTTGCAGCAGCAGTGTTTCTGCTGCATTTGGCAGGGTTAGGGTTAGGGTATGGGGGTAAGCTGATATGAAGCCTAAATATTTCATAAAACACATTCCAGCTGACTTGCAGCGTGTTACTTTTAAATTAGGTGGCTTTAATAAAAGTGGGTAGGGGGTTAAGAGTTACCGTGTGTCAGCCTATTTTATTCTTAAAGCGTGCCAAAGATTTCCAATCTGTTGTCTCTGTCAAAAAGGGAAAATCAGCAGCACGGTTGTGAATGTTTAATTAATTTGAGCCTTTTGCTTTTCAGGATCAAAGCAGGAGAAGACAACTACAAGAGAGCCTGGTAAATCAGGTGAGAATTCAAGAAAAGTTCCCCCTCATAGGCACGCTGGCTCCTTGGCGATGCATGTTTGCTTTTGTGTTTGTTCGTGTGCATGTATGTACCTATCAACGCTGGCACTGAGAATGTGTGTGTGTGTTCCTTTGTATCTGTCTATTTGTCTTCATCTTTGTCAGAGATGTTCAAGACGGGTCGCCTGTTTAGGCTTGCCTCACTAATATTTTGTCAATTCATGAACGTTCGAGCTGCCTGAAGGCTGATATAAAAGCAGTCTTGAGTTAAGAGTGTGTGATAAACTTTGCACACCACTGGCAGCTTTGGTGCCTATAACTTGCTTGTTGTCTTTACCAGGCAAGCAGCAGGAGCAAGACCGGAGGACCGCTGACTTATCTTAAGTTCTCCTTCACTAACCTCTCTCCATTTTGGTTCCTTTTTCAGCCACAGTGTCATAAGATACAGCGAAATGTTCACACTCAAGTCTACTTTTTCTGTGTCTCTCATCAAGCATCTTCCCTCTTCCAGATATAGAACCACTAAGCTTCCCTGTGACTGCGCTCCAAAATTTGTATAGCTTTCTCATCTCTTAAGAGACAATTTGTTTAACTGCTGTGATTTGACTCACAAAGAGTCCAATTTGGGTTCATTCAGATTGACTCATTATGTGATTGTATGTGACAGTGCATGGTTGCATGAGAGAGAGAGAGAAAGTGTGTGCACATCCACTTGTGTTTGTCAGATGGGTTATTCCTGTCAGTGTGACATTCATGTCTGTGCCTCTCTCTTGCTATGTCTCTCTCTTTCTCTCTGTGTAAACAGTCTTGGGTATAGCGTCTGTCTGAACCCAGCCAAGTCATTACGCATAGATCAAGTGGGAATGCAAAATTTGAGAGAGGAGGTGGGATTGTGGGAGAAGGAAAGAGGGAGGAAAAGAGGTGGAGGGGTTGGTTGTGGTTCAATCTGAACTGGTTGGATAAACAGGGTGGTGAAAAGCAGAATAAACTGTAGGTTTGTGGTGTGCCAGCGCTCAAAATAGCAGTGATTGCATCAATATTTTGATTCAGCAAAAGCCCATCAGTAAAAAAAAATAAAGAAAAAAGAAGCCATTTCACAGCTGCCTTTGCAGCATTTCTTAAAGTAGGAAGAGATGTGCACTTAGCATTTTGCAATAAAGCCATTTCTGTTACTTGACTTAACAAATTCACATGCTGGAATCATATGCAGCTGACGACTGACAAACAGCAGTAAAACTAATGCCATATGACCACAAATAGCACGGGGGTTTCCTGGCACATGCTTAAAGAGGTGTTACAGTCATGTAAAAGGCCACAAAGTAAAGATAGGCCATTAGTGGTTTATCATAAATCCAAATCATAAATGCACTTTTTGAAATGGCATTTCCATCCTTGAAGTGAGCAGAGTAATAACACGTCTGCCTCAGTTATTTACACTGCACACAGACTCTACGTATTTTTATCCACCTTACGTGTTTGAGGAGATGAATGGCTGCCATAACTGTATTTGACTTTGCCATGGAAAGTCATTGTTAAAGAAAATGTATTTGAGCCTAATCCCTGTTTGTGGAGCCAACCATTAGAGATTCTCTGACTCACACATTAATGGGGCTTTACTTCAAGCAAGAGGAGTGACCAGTTCTGAGGTTAACCACACCTACAGCCATGGTTTCACCCGGAGCGCTCCAAAACCTCCATCGCTGTCTCTCACCACAAATCAAACAAACGGAGACCAAACAAACATACTCAGTTCTCCCGCTGTTAATTGGTTCATCTGAAACTTGGCTACTGCATTTTAACCCTCTTCTGCGCCGCCACCACCTCCGCACAGCTTTCCCAATCCAAGTGCAGGAAATGAAAGATTGAAGAAGAACATCAGGGACAATCAGTCCTAATTCTCTCTTAATTTACTATAATTGATCAAAATCTGTCCTCTGTAGCACTGTGATCTCCCTCCGTTGCATGACGTGATACCATTGGAATATGTGACCACTACATTCCTAGCTTTCCTTTTCTCATATTGCAAGTCACATCTTTCAGTTTTCAGCACACGTGCAGCCTCTCTTGGTCATTTTTCATCCCTCTAACTCTGCTTCCATCCTTCTTGACCGGGCAATGTGCAAATCTCACATAGTTCAAGTGTTCTCTAATCTAGCGTACTCTCGTAATTGTAGTCTCCTTGCAAATATTCTCCATTCTAAATGCAGATGACACCGACCTAGTGATCGATCCTCAGCCTCCCGAACACGAAGAAGGTGAGCTGTTATTCGTCAGACTGTGAGTAAAAAATGTTTGGTCCTGTGCCTGTGTTTACTGACATACCGCTGACTGACTCAAAAGAAAAAAACCCTTAAATGGGCAGAAGAGCCTGCCCGAGTCAGTTACAGCACCATGCTCCAAAAAGGTCACTGTGGAAAACGTTATAGTAAAACACTGTTTTGGAATGATGAGATATGATGAAAATTTTTTCCTCGTGTATTGTATACAGTAGTAGCAAGTGAAACATATTTCATTCTAAAGCATAGTCCAACTGTAGCATAAGAAAATGAGTCATTAAATTAGTATTATCGAAATCTGCCAGAAATATTGAACTTGTCAGTTAAATAACCAGCAGCTATGCAGTAGCAGGAGGATGTGGTACTTATATATGTAGAAAAGTTGCTTCCCACGTTTTACTTCAAAGATAAAGAATGGAAAGCTGCTGCATTTGAGCACTTTTATAACTAGTTTATATATTTTTTGAGCAAAGTAGCGTTTTACAGCGTCACGCTAATGCAATCATTTGATAAATAATAGATTCTAGCCTACCCACCCATCTTTTGATGCTATAACTCTGGTCACAGCTTTCATATGCAATTTATTATCCGCATCCACTGCAGCAGTTTGAGATATGATAACCTTCATGTGCATTATACAGGCTGTGAGTTTTGGTTTGCTTCAGATGATTTACGAGCATGTGTTTGACTGAAGCTAATGAAGCTGCCTTGGTGATTTCTTTCAGATAGCAATTCCCAGTACCCCACTCTGTGGACGGAGCAGGTTCGCAGCCGACAGAACAATAGAACCAGAGCACCATGTGAGTTTTCAAAGGTTGCTTTTTACTTAATGATGGCGAGCGGGTGTTTGCAAACCTCAACTGAAAGCCCGCTGTGTTTTTCCAGCTTGTGTGAGCAATCGTGGTTTGAGGCTGTTCCTGTCTTTTAAGGACAGATGGCGGGTTGTGAAACCAATACATCTTGGTGTCGGAGTGCGTCAGGCTTTGAGGATCTGCTTCTCTGTGGTTCTTCTCATTGCAGCATTCCTGTAAATATCCTCACATGGCACGGGCAGATGATTTTATGTCAGCCGGCTTGGTCAATCCTGCTCTCTTTTTACAAACACGCGCGTTAAGCTCAGTTGTCTCGGAAATGTGCAGTTTTTCGTACCAAACAATAGTATTTTAGGCTGGCCTAGAGACAAGAAACTTCTGTGCATGTGTGCATTTCTGTGTGAATCCCATTATCATAATTTACAACCAATAAAAAGCTTGAGAAATGCAGCATTGATGGTTTTGATTACCACATGCTCTTTGGGGTATTGGGGTGAAAAAAAACCCCCACCCGCTCCAACAAAGAGAGCCCATACGGAACAACTGGAGCGAAGAAAGTTGGTTGAGAAAGTGGGGAGGCATTTCATTTGGTCTCTTTTGTGTGGGTAAAGATCTCTAATGAAAATAAACAAAGAAAAGGGATATCCATAATCCTGCAGAAGCCTGCGAGCCTTGAGGCAAGCACCGAAAAGAGGAAGAGATAAAAATCCCTCATGGCCAGAAGAGCTCTCCTTCCATTCCTCTGTTTAATGCGGCTGCTGTGCAGGAAAAAAAGAGTCTGATTAGATCCTGGTGAGGCTCAGTAAAATCCCATCAAGCCACTTCATTTTCTGTATGTATGGATAAAAGACAGGAACGTGCACTTTTTCAGGGGAATTCTGAACATATAAACATATAGGTCTGTGGTACTTTACAGTATCCTGCAGCTATGTGTCGGTCTGTGTGGGTGTTTGACAGCATAGCCCCAACTGACCACTGTGCTGCCTTTGTCCTGTCTGTTTCTCTCGCTGTCACACACATCCACAAAGGGCAGTTGAGTGTCCAAATATTTACTTAACTTGGGGCACGGGGAGCCCGTGCTTAGTCATTAGCCCGTTAATGTCCGTAAACAGTGCCATGGGGGGCTGATATAGCAGTCTACACACCCTGTCTCCGAGCGCTCGTCCTCCACCCCTTTGTCTTCCTCCTCCTCCTCCTGCTCCTCGGGGATTTGCAGCAATGGTTAGAATGGAATGAGAGAGCAGCTGCATGCGTTTTGCTTTTATACAGAAATTAATTCAACCATAATGCACGTTGTATAATTCCAAATGTGGTTGCCAGATCTGGTTAGGACTAAGTCCAAATTTAAACTTCAAACATACCCTCTTGTTCATATCAAATGTGCCTCTCTGGAGTGAGTGTTTGCCAAGTCACACAACCCAGACCATCAAAACAAAAGCTCAGGTTATAGACCACATGCATGTGTGCTTACGTTCTTGTGACCAATACGCTAATACCTTTGCTGATTCCTATATAACCTCTGATCTTTCCCAGCCTCGTCATGTGACCAGGAGAAGCTTTCTGCCCAAGAAGAGGCAAGGCAGCACAAGAACGACGCTGTATTTGTACCAGACTGTGCCCAAGGAGGACTTTACAAGCCTGTCCAATGCCACCCCTCTACTGGCTACTGCTGGTGTGTGCTTGTGGATACTGGACGGCCCATACCTGGGACCTCTACAAGGTGGGCAAAATATCACCTACAAAAAAAACAACGTGGTATACAGATATTTGCACCTTTATGTGTGGTACTTAATTACACTTTTCAAATATCCTTGGCATTTATTGCCTTGTTCTGTGTGGGAAACAAACTAGAAAGTTGCTACACAAAGCAGGTAAGTGATCATTAGCCAAGCTTAACAGAGCAGAGAGGTCACAAGAAAGAGAATCTGCTCAACTAGATGACCTTGCATTTTGCCCTTTGGCAAGCATCTTCTGCATTAAATGTTCTAAAACTAGATTAGGAATTATCTTACAACAGGTCTTAATATCTGCAGGCTTTCAACCCTGCAAACTTTGAAAATACTGAAAAGAAGCTCTTAGAAAAAAAATAAATTTCAGAGATTAAAAACAGGTTTTCTATCAGGGATTTGTAAAACTGCATAAATGTCAGACTTGTGAGATTGCACATCTAAGAACACACATGGACATCTCCATTGCTGATGGCGCAGAGTGTCTCGGTGGTCTGGTGAGTGGCAGGTCATAGGTCAGTGAGCCTGGCAGACTGGAGAACTGGTACACTCTTATTGAGCAGCATGGCTGGGTATCAAATTAACAAGGCTCCAGGCAGAGTGCCAGACAGCACATTAGCACGCATATGGAAGCATGGATTTTCTTTATTGTCCCAGGCCAGCTTTTGGCCCACTTGCACAGCAGCAATCTGGGCTCTGCGACGGAGACTGTGAAAGCTTCCTTGTGTCCCACGCTCCCTGTCTCCCACACTTCTATCTCCCTTCCCATTTCTATCCTCATACCAGCTCCAAATCCTTCCCCTCTTATTGGATGTGTTTCACAGCCCCTGGATTTGCCACAAAACAGTTATTTCTATCCCTAAGATTTAACTGCAATGGGTAATTGGAAAGCATGGGAGTCCTCTCTGACTTTACAGTAAAGATAGTTTCACTGTTATTGACAGTCCCTTTCACCCATTTCCCTCGATTGAACAGATTTTGTATTTATTTATTTTTTACATGGTGCATTTTCTGTCACAGGTATGAACAGCCAAAATGTGATGGCAATGCTAGGGCCCACCCAGCTAAACCTAAGGACCATTATAAAAGCAGACATCTCCAAGGTAAGTTTTTCAAAACTGGACTCGGTCTCTGTTTTTTCTTTGTGTCCGGACCACACGGGGGTGTTCCTCTGCAGCCTTCCTCTAACTGCTGCCTCGTTTCCAAGGTTGTGATAACAGTGCAACTATGCGTGTGTGTAAAACCATCATTAGTGCTGTTGGTCAAGGAAACGCTTGTTAAAGAGTTGAGGATTGCCAGACCCTACCCTTCGTTGGTCAATAAGCAGGGAGATAGGGACAGATTGGGGGAGAATTCATCTTCGAGTGACATGGAAGCTGGAGCATAGTGGGATGAAAGCAAAGAGGTGAAACAGCAGGGAGGTGAGTGATAATGGATAATTGGATGCCAGAGATAGGTGGTGATCATGGGATTGATAACAGTGTAGATAACTATATTGAGGGCAGAAGATCACTTTGGGGGTGGAGGTCATGTAGCGGACTTAGTTACAGGTGAAACTCTGCTGGTGCTGGGTGCATATAGTATGTGAATGTTACTTACAAACATATAGGGCTAAATATTAATTAAATTACTGCATATTTCATTATTTTTAGGCATATTTAGAAAACGAACTAATTGCCAATACATTACTGGGCCTAACCACTGAGGGGTTTTTACAATGTTTTTCAGAGTTAAATTAGCTAATGTGTTACATTATCCTATCATTCACTGTTTTTACACACAAGCACACACATGCGCACAAAAAAAGTTATTAATTCATGTTCCGCTGGCTAAAACATTTGGCTAATTTATTGCTATATGTAGACAAAGTTAAAACATGATTTGGTGCTGCTTCACTTTCTCTTCATGCTGGAAGTAGGACTTGAACTAACAACTTTCTGCTGGAGACACTAAACAGAATCAGGTCTCGGTAACCTGCCAAAAGTATCTGACTTACATGTGTCACTTTGGAAGGAAAATGCAGCTGCAGGACTCTTTTCAAGGAGACTTCTGCCATGGTTAGTAAAATTTGGAAAACTGTCTCATGTCCAGTTTTCCTAAAGCAAGGGAGATATTACATTAAAAATAAGTCAAGTTGTAGTTAAAGTTGTTGTATGCACGTGGATCTTAAAATGATCTTCTTGCTCTGTGATGAAACTCACATTCAAAACCACACTGAGATGACTAAACCATTTTTAAAGATGCGCCAGCTTTCATTCGGCTGCACTCGCTTTTTTTACTCATCACGTAACTGCACAACTTGTACCTCTCATTAAGCCAAAGATAGGTGAAGTAGAGATACAGCGTTCAACCGCTGCCTACAACCAAATCATAGTTTAAAGATGAATGGTGCTTGGCTAATTTGCAATTTTTTTTTGGTGGTTTAGTAAACATGTTAATAGTCCAGCAGCATGTGAACAGAGCCACCACTGTTCCAGTCCTCTCCACAACTGTTTATGTAAGAGTGCGCCAGGCCAGAGCTGAGCTCTCTGCTCGCAGGTGCTGCGTTTAGCAGGAGAGCAGCACTCTGTCTCTGCTCAAGCATCAATGATTCTTGTACAGTTAATATAAAACAGAGGGACATAGACAGACATAAATGGTTGGTAGACCACCAAATGCTATTCATCTTTTGCTTTGCAGAAAGTATGCGGTGGCAATGGGGGTAAAAAAAGAAGAAGAAAAAGCAGCGACGCTATCCCGTGAGAAAGACTCTAAGACTGAAACATTATGTCTCTGCATGTGTTAAGTTGCACAGACCGAATTTTAAACCTGTCAAAAAAATCTGCACCTGATCAGTCAGTATGCTCATGCAGTAAAAAAAAAAAAAGAAGAAGAAGAAGAAGAAAAAAAACGTAGCATCTTGTTTTCTTTATGAGCAATTGCGTCAATGGCTGTAAACCGTGTTACTGTATGATCCAGGTATAATTATAAACGTTGCCTTCACATTGCTGCAACCCATTTGCTGTTGAAGAGCTGGTGTTGAGAGGTTTATGGGGCGAGACTTGAGAAAGGAGCAACTTGCCCAGGAAGAGCCAGGAAAGTAAAGCTGAGTATTTGGCTAACTCTATCCCCGCAGCAGGCTCATGGGACAGCACTGGGGCAGGCGCTGGGAGCTGCGGCCGCGAGTGCTGACAGGGCTCAGCCCCATGTGGCTCCGTACAAAAACACTGCTCCTTACTGACAGTAACGCACAGGCACACACATGTAAACACGCACTTACACGCCAACTTTTTACAGGCCGCAGATATATGGAGGCTTGTGAATGGTGGTGCAGCTCTTTACGTTTCAAAAAGAAAAAACATTGAAATCATGAAGGCTTTCTCAACCTGATTCTGTCCTGCAGCTGTCAAACTTTGGTATTACATAATTATAATTATTATGGAATAAGACAGCAGCCGTGTACTGTTGCAGCCTTGAAATGGACGGAAAATGGCCAGACACAATTTCCCTCAAATGACAGCAGGCACATTCGTGTCCTTCCCTTCAGCTAAACAGTGTCCAGACATACAGAAGCCGATCTGTCCCACCCCCACAGTGAAAGCACTGCTGCTAAGAGGAAACGACTGAAACATTACATGATGGCTTCCCTCCCTGAATGAATTGCAGACGTGCTAAGATTCCTGCAGCATTACAGAGAGCGCCGGTGCTCTCCATGAAAAACACTGAGCCTCAAACAAGTCTCACTGCATCCCACGAACCTCTCTTCATTTAGAAGCCAGATAAAAAAAACCACTTTGCCTTCTGAGGGTGCAATTATTTGACTGTCTAGACTAATTTACCACAAGAAGGTCCACAAGGCACCATTTTGGCTATTATCAGGTGGGTCAGATATTTTACTGGGCAAGAGCCAGGGAGGGCCTACTAAAAGTTAAGTACAAGTCTGTTTAACGTGTAAAGGAGACCGCGGAAGAGTTTGGATGTGACTTTTTAAAACCGTGGTCTCGGTACAAGCTGCTAAAGCCCTGAAAGGTGGAGCAGAGGCTGGATGTTTATGCCGATGCTGGTCGCCACCTGTTAGAGACGCAAAGCATGCTATTATCTCCAACACAGGAGAATCGGGCCCCGCAGGCCTGGGCCATAAAAAAAAGCAGAAAACTATGGACAATTTCTTCTTCTCCAACGGCGCAGGGAAACAAGATTGTGAGAAAGGAGAAAAGAGCTGGAATCCCTCAGGTCTCTGTAGCCTTCAGCTCTAAAGGAATAACTTTGGTCTCCTCACCCTTAAAATGGGCTCACAGACAATTACTGTCATTAGGGTCATTCACCCAGTGTTGTTCTTCATTTTAATTTTTTCCCATCAGTCTGCATGCAATAATGCTTTACTGTTAGTTTTTCCTGGGTGGATAATGACACATTTCACCCTATAGGTTCATGGTCTGATTATATTGCCATTCTCTGTCAGTCATTTATAGAGTAACCCCGCCACACGTTGAACATCGCGTTCTAAATTTTGTCTGTTGCTCTCTGCTTGGATATCTTTAAAGCAAACACCTCAGTAATTAGTAAAATCTTGTTAATAGTAACAGGTATGCCTATACCTGTGGAAAGTTAAAACACTGCACAATGATTGGCAGGTTTCTTCCACTCCTCCACAGGAGGGGAGCTCTGATTCTTTATTGGAGCAACTGCGAGTGTCCTGGGTTTCTTTTCTCTTTTTATGTGACGTCTACATTAAAACTACGCCGGCTGTTACATGACATCCCTCCCCAGACATTTATTGGGCCACCTATGATGAGAGCATTTAACATTGCTGCAAAGCTTTTTTTGCAAGAGAATCTCTTTGTTTGCACACTCGCTTTCATGCAAGGGCATAATTCCTGCTTTCACACATCGATGTATCTGTGGTTGATTTTCCAGGCTGTCCCGGGGCTAAGAAAACAGAGTTCCTGACAAGTGTTCTTGACGCGCTGTCGACAGACATGGTGCACGCTGTCACAGATCCAGCATCTGCGGGAAGGTATGACATTTCAAAGTGTGTATATTCATGCTATGGTTAGTTATGGATCAGTGGGTTCAATCATTCACCACAAACACATAAATGTATGCCACTCACCAATTTTGAGTGCACTGAAAAGTGGGAAAAGCTTTTTTTCCCCTCTGAAAGCGAGCGACTGCATTTCACTGAGTTGTTTTTTAGTTGCTGCATAAAGAGAGATGTGATTACTGGCTGATAATCTGATTTGTACCTGACCTTTAGGGTGGCTGAGCCAGACCCCAGTCACACCCTGGAGGAGAGGGTTGTCCACTGGTATTTCAGTCAGCTGGACAAAAACTCCAGTGGGGACATTGGAAAGAAGGAGATCAAACCTTTCAAACGCTTCCTGCGCAAGAAGTCCAAGCCAAAGAAGTGTGTTAAGAAGTTCGTGGAGTACTGCGACATCAGCAATGACAAAGCACTGTCTCTGCAGGAGCTCATGGGCTGCCTTGGGGTGACCAAGGAAGAAGGTTAGATGAATGTAAACTAATCACCCTGAATTTTTTTTAAACCTCTCCTCCAAACGTTATTGCCCAGTAATGGGGCAACGAGGCACCAGAAAGATTTTGGGTTCATCCATATGACAAAGTGATGCACAAAGGGCAGTTATAATCACATTTCAAAAACAAAAATCCAACAGCAACATGTGACCTACGCCAAGTGATTACATAAAGCCTCGAGGGCCTGCAGGTTTTAGATATGTCATTGATCCAACGCAGCTGATTCAAATGGCTAAATGACCTCTTCAACATGTCCTGAAGTTCTCCAGAGGCTTGGTAATGAACTAATCATGTGATTCAGGTGTGCTGACCCAGAGTGATATCTAAAACATGCAGGACACCGGCCCTCGAGGCCTGGAGTTGCCCACCCCTGAAAAGAGTAAGCTAAGTTGTCTAATTAGCACTTGAATGGCATAATATAATGTTTTACAGCACGCTGTACCAGAGTCAGCTGGAAAACAATAGTTTTTAACCAACTAAAAACATTTAAGTGATAATTAGCCAGCTAGCACCTAGCTACAGTACTTGCAAATAACAGAATCCACTAACAGCAGTGCTTAATTACACAGCACAATTATACTCTGCAAAAGTTTCTCCATAATACTTCAAATTCATGTCACGTTTCTTTTATCCTAAAGGGTCCATACCAGGAGAAGGCTTAACCAGTAAACTAGTAAGTACACTCTTCCTTCATTGCATATTTCCAGCCTAACTGAAATGTTATTGTCTCCGGTAGTGTTGACTGAAGCAGACCTTAAAATGTGTATTTCTGAAAAAGGGGCACATTAAAATGAAGTAACTTCAATTTCCTCTTCCTAGAATCCCTCAAAGAAGCAAGGCTAAGCCCTACAACAGTGATTTCCCCTCTCATCTGGAGAATCCGCCCTCACCAATCGGCAAATGGAAACCATAGTATTTGCACTTTGTACTTTAAAAAAAAAAAATGTAAATTCACTTTGTAGAAATGAGGTATTTAAACAGACTGCTGAATCTGTGAATTATGTAGTTAGCTTTTTATGTCCTGACAAAACAAAAAATATTTAACACATACAATGTATGTGTCCTTTTGTGTCTAAAAAGTGTACTTTTGAAAGTTGTCTAAGTTTTCATGTTTGATGTTACATTTTTGTGCCCATTTCTCCCCAGTTTACTTTTCTTCTTGTATTAATGATATCGAGGTGTTTATACTGATCGTTTCCTACACAGCTACAATAACCTTTCCATCTCTCACGTACTGACCTATTTCATCTTTTCCTGTACTTTGTAAAGCAGTTTGCAAGAATGTTTGGAAGATGCATCATAAACAACATTCTACATGTTCGCATATATTCATGATTACTAGAAATAAAGAACTCTTTTATATATTTTGCTCCTTGTGTCTGCTTAATGTGTCAAAGAGGAGGAATCAGGTCAGCGACTTTCTTTGGATCCAATTAGTCTTCTGTATTTTCCCTCGTTATATAAATCTTGTAATGTCTTTGCCATTTTGTCTTTTCTTGCTGTGTCTTTAATAAAACACCTTGTTGACACAGTGTTTAAGAGCCAAGTATTAGTCATACATAGCAGAGGTCGTGTATCATCCCATTTAAAGACAGTTTTCCAATTCCCCTAAGGCAACGTTGGAGAATTTAAAAAATAGATGGTACTGTTTTACAGTTTTGTCATATTGACTGAAGACAGATAAATAGACTATTCTCAGCTCTGTACAGTATGAGTGCCCATTAGAAGGGCATTATATGAGCTTCTGTTTGTGTGCACGCGGTTGATTATGGTATAGTTAAATGTAAACCCAAAGAGTCAAAATAAAGTTTCAATAGATTCTTTGTTAAGAAACAGCTCTCAGCTCAGAGCAGCCGTGACACTTTACACTACTGTACATTGTTCCTGCCTGATTATTTATTATGTTGAGGCTAAGTGGTAAGCTGTGGCTTTTCACACATACAATCCTCTATAGGGCTCAGCGGCTGACCTCAGGCTGACCTGCTCACTCAGGCTTATCCTCTAATTTATGATTAGCACATTGCTCTCCTTTCTTTGATATAATCCGACCCAATGGTCTGGTTTTAACACCACAGGGGAACCAGAGGAGAGATTATAACCGATGGTGGATTAGCTATAGATAACCTACGGCCTTTTTAAGTCCCCTCTCCATCCACAGCAAAGGAAAAGTTATATCTGAAGCAACAGGCCTAAAGTAGTAAGGATATTTAGATTTCTGTTTCCCAGAAACAAAGTATCCAACCAAGCCTGTCTATATATTTTTAAAAACCGCCTTTTGATTAGCTCCAGCCATCTGTGATGCTCTATGTACTAAAATACAGTCTGCTGATTCTAAATTTCCAACCATGTTCCTGGTTTGTCAACCTGAAGGTGATGTTAGCACCATGCCCACGAAAACATTTGCTTTTCTCAAACAACCATACAATCTGTTAAGGTCACCATACTAGTTGCAGGTGTACCAGCAAATGCATCAACCTATAGCAAGCCAGATGTCTGCTACCGAAGCTCCGTCCCATAACCAACACAATGCTAGAGCTTTGTTGTGTAGTTTCTACTCCCCTGGGCTCAAATGCATGTAAACACAGTTTATGATTTGGCTTCACGTCAAGGTGTGGTTTTCCGAATATGTTTCCCTGATGGCTTGGACTTTTGCCTGATGGAGTAGTTGAAGAAAGGCATCCAAACCTTTTGGCCCAGTTACCAGGACCTTCTCACAGTTCCCCCCTCCTCTTCTCCTTAGTCGTGCTTCCTCACTTCTCTCTTTCGCATATGTGCAAACACACTCCCTGAGCACAGAGATACCATTGAGCGTGATTTGTGGGCACAGTTTGTGTGCTTTAATGGGCAAGAGGAGGCACCCGATCTTACTGCTGGCAGGCCCTGCGGGCTGTGGACTCATGAAGAAATTACTGTCAAAAGCCATCAGGGCTTTAATAGCCTCTGGCCCAGCCATGGCTTCCCCCTGGCCTTCAGAGGGGGTTCTGGTCTGTGGGTAAATAGCATGAGGACAGCGTGCACCCTGGGAGCCTCTCTCTTACTGCTTCCCCAGCAGTCCAGCCAGTATGGCAGAGCACGGTCTGACATTACACTCAAGAAAATGAATTGCTAGAGGAGGTGTGACTTTTTAATGGATGGGGTGCAAACGAAAAATAAGCAGCATAAAGGACTAGGTGAATTCACACAAGGGGCCTTTTCATACTTTACCTCCCCTCTGAATAATTCTTTTTGCTACAGTGGCTTAATTAGTGCAACTTTCTTAGTGGTTGTTTGCTTTCATTATACAATTTAAATGGGATTACTTTGTTCAAGTAAGCATAAATTGTGTGTACTGTTTTTATTGGAGCCTAAAGTGAGCTTAGGCAGGGTGAGTCCATAGAGTGTATGAGTGCATTTGGGAGACAAATACATGCTAATGCTAAATAAATAAAATAGGAAAATAGTGGTAAGTAGATTTTCTTTCTCCTTCATACAAAGACAGACAATCTATTTCCTATTCATACAGCTTTCTGTCATAATGTGCATCTGGAAAGTATTCACAGCGCTTCACTTGTTCCACATTGAGTCATGTCACAGCCTCAGTCCAACAAATTAAATTAATTTTTCATCTCAAAAATCTACACACGATATCCCATAATGCTTTAAATCTATTCAAAATAAATCATATATAAGATCTACATAAGTATCCACAGCCTTTGGTCAATACCTTGTTGAAGTACCCTTGGCAGCACCAGCCTCAAATTATCTGAGTATGACACTATAAGCTTGGCAGACCTATTTTTGGGCAGCTTCTCCCATTCTTCTTTGCAGACTTTCTCAAGTGCCATCAGGTTGAATGGGGAGTGTGGGTGCGCAGGCATTTTCAGACTTATTAGCAGAGATGTTCAGCCAGGTTCAACACTGGGCTCTGGCTGGGCCACTCAAGCACATTCACAGAGTGGCCCTGAAGCCACTCCTTTGTTATTTTAGGTGTGTGTTTAGGGTCGTTGCCCTGTTTGAAGATGAACCTTTGAGGTCCAGACTGCAGGTTATCATCAAGGATGTCTCAGTACATTCATCTTTCATCTGCATTAATCTTTCCCTTGACCCTGACTAGTCTTCCAGTTCCTACTGAAACATCCCCACAGCATGATGCTGCCACCATGCTGCTTCTCTGTAGGGATGGTATTGGCCAGGTGATGAGCAGTGCCTGGTTTCCTCCAGACATGATGCTTGGCATTTAGGCTGGAGAGTTCAATATTTGTTTTATCATACCAGAGAATTTTGTTTCTCGTGGTCCAAGAGTTCTTCAGGTACCTTTTGGCAAACTCCAAGCAGGCTGTCATGTGACTTTTACTGAGGCATGGCTTCTGTCTGGCCACTCTACCATACAGGCCTTATTGGTGGTTTCAAACATCTTCCATTTACAGATGATGGAGGTCACTGTGCTCATTGGGACCTTCAATGCTGAAGAAACTGTAGAATTTTGAGGTGAAAAATTAATTTAATCCATTATGGAATACGGCTGTAACTTGACAAAATGTGGAACAAGTGAAGTGCTGAGAATACTTTCCACATGCACTGTATGTATATGTATGTATATCATGTATATCAGACTTGTTTTCAAAACATTTAATATGGCCCTGTTTGCTTCAATTGTCTGCTTCAATCAGTCATCTGTAGTCTATAAACTTCCTGCACCAAAACACAAGTGTTGCTGTTGTCCAGAACTAGTTCAGCCTTCCTTGCTGGACACGGACACACACGGCATTAGTCACCCCTTCCGCACAGCCGACTGAGCGAGATAAAATGTTCTGCAATAGATAGAGCGCCGGCAGAGTCGAAGGAAAACTTGAAGGGAGCGTCATCTTCTGTGCTTTTAGGGTGAATTGTGATACTTTTCTCATTTATGTGTTCCAGCTGAATGGAGCGGCTGCCAAGTTCGGGATCTGGCCTGACATCAGAATTTCACAGGGAGATAAAGAGATTCTTGTTTTAAATTCCAATAGACAGAGTTATACACATGGTCTTCGCACCTACACACACCCACTAATTACACACACGGGCACACATTCGGAGAACAGAGGGAATGGACAGCAGATTTCTAAAAACGTGTGTTCATGACAACAATTATTGATTCAAGACTGATAATGTCACAGTTTTATTGCATATAAACTTAAAATGGACACTATAAGTTTTGTGTCTGTTAATGTTTTTCCTTCCCAAAAATAAGCCTACAGATTTGGACATGATTTTTTCTTCCATTCTTGAATATTTGGGGGGATTAAAACCTCTGGGCCTGGGAGCTGGAGGGTTGGTGTGCATGCGGAGGGGGGTTACTTGTCCTTTAATCTCATTCTCAGTGTCCAACTTTGACATAGCAGTATTCCATTTGAGCCTGACCAGGGCTGAGAGTGGGAACCGCGTGCAAAGTACAACGAGATAGAGAGAGGGAGGCAACCGAGGGTACTGGAGGTAATGAAGGTGGGAGGGAAGGAGGTGGGGAGCTGTCTGGCCTAAACCCAAGGGATTAACGGGGTGACTTCTCCTCTGGAATGTTCCACTGACAGCTAAGGCCCGCCCACCCACAGCTGCCTCCACCAGACAGGTGCACAGCCAAATCAAGGCAGGAGGTGGGTAGATGCGCGAAGGAAACAGAGTGCCTAAGGTGGTAAGGAGCAAAGCAAACATCCATGCCTAACCACATCAGCCTATAGAGCACCTGAAAACAGGCATCTGTGCCGATCAATAACCATTTAAAGAAACTGCTAAAAACAATAGATAGAGGCAGAGGTTGACACACTTTGCAAACAATGCTTATAGTCACCTTCCTGAGCTGATTTAGTTGAGTCTGTGGCAAATCTAGAAAAGCAGCACAAACGTCTCGGCTGCTTTTCACACCAAAACAATGCCCATTTGTCTCAGTCCAGTCATTTCGTCGAGCTGTATACAAAGCAGACTTGGCATTTAGCAACACACACAACAGCGTAAGTGAATTCATTTGTCATGCCTTAATTTGTGTTTGGGAATGTACGAGATCTTGCCCCTGCTTGCTGTGCAGCGTTGAGTATTACTTTGCAAATATGGGAAACAAAGGATTTTTTTTTTTTGCTGTATTTTTTCAGCGTTGTATTATTACCATATGGGTAAACACAAAAGGGTTTTAGTGACATCCTAAGGTTGTGCCCGAGGATGTTACAACAAAGGACAATAAACACTGCCGCTGATCTACAACAATCCTGTGTTCAGAAGTGAGGAAAAAAAATCCCTCACACATTTCCCTTTGAAGCCAGTGGGATTCCTGAAGGTAGTGGGACTGTGCTTCTAAGATGTTTGATTGATAGAGGGTCTGTGAAATCTGACTCTTTGTTTTGCGCTCTCTCCGGTGACCTGCCCTGTCATGCCTCCCCTGTTTCGAGAACCAGGTTGTCTGTCCCAACATCAGGTGAACGTTGGTGTGTGGAGGGGGCACGGCAACACTCAGGTGGTGAGGCTTTGAGGTCAAAGGTGATAAACCAGGATCACTCTGTTGGATGAACATCACAGACTTCTGGTTTGTTTGTTGCTAAGGAAAAAATAAATAAATAAAAAACAAGGGATCTGTCTAAAAGATTTGTACTTC